CTTTGCCTTTGGGACAACAGACACGTCTCCTACCTTAGACTGCATCGGGGAGTGGGGCTAAGGTGAAGGGGCCGGAGCCGAGCATTTGGTTTGTCAATGCACCGAGTGAGGTACTGGCACAAATCACATCACACCTTACTGAGGAAGAGAAAGCATGTCCTGAGTCTAAGGGACAGCTAACTACGGTTTGTCCTCCCTTTCAGATTGCCCCAGACTACTATGAGTCTACCTTTCAGTTATCCAAATTAAATTTGCAATTAATTGGGCTTCCCTGGTGGCGCAGTGGTTGCGAGTCCGCCTGCCGATGCAGGGGACACGGGGTCGCACCCCGGTCCGGGAGGATCCCACATGCCGCGGAGCGGCTGGGCCCGTGAGCCATGGCCGCTGAGCCTGCGCATCCGGAGCCTGTGCTCCGCAACGGGAGAGGCCACAACAGTGAGAGGCCCGCGTACTGCAAAAAAAAAAAAAAAAAAAAAAAATTTGCAATTAATTAAGTCATGCAAGTAAAAGTTGCTTTCACATGATTATGAGGCCCTTAGAACTCTCCAGTTTAAGTCTGAAGGTACAGGAGCCTGAGCTCCCCTCTCTGTTTGTTCTTCTTTCCTCTCCTCTAATGGGCTGTTGGGCTCCACATGTTGAGATTGTGAAAAACTTTGAACCCATAAGAAGTTCAGACTTGAAGAATATGTGTCTGTCTCCGGGACAAACCTCCAAGAATCTGTACAAAAAGTGAACCTGCTCCCCCTGAGGGGAGTTGGGATCTACTGCAGTATAATGGAGGGGTGGCCTGGAGCTCTTCTTGTCCTTAACCAAAAGCAATTTCCTGTCCTCTTGGTCCCCCTGCAGCCTGCAGGGCTGGAGCCCCCAGTGCTGTACCTCTCCCTGAGCAGCAAGGTAGGCCACGCTGGTCACGTCTCCCTGGACAAAGCAGAAATAAATCACACTCCAGCCCCTGCTTAAGATCTGATGAAATTCCCCATTTCCGCTCCAAATTGAATTCCTCCCGAAGGATTGGAGCAGCTCCCGCGTTATGAAGGCACTCCTTCCTCCTCTGCTAGAAGCATGTTTTAAATGAACTGACACAGCCTTCTGATCTGGGTGGGGAGGTAGCTTTTAGGAGCAATCTTGAGAAACTGTTTTCAGACCAGAAATGATATTTTTAAATCTTGAGGGGCAAGGCGGCAGACAGACAGTACCACGTGGCCTTTGTCGGGAGGCAGCCCCGCTGCTGGTGGTCTCCTGGGAAAGAAGGAGAACACGTGTCCTGCTGTCGCTCTGCCCACCCCCCTGCTCTGCCCTGCTGGCCTCCTAGATCACTTGCAGTGAAAGAGAATTTATGATGGAGAATACAAAACAAGAGGGCTTGTGCTTTTTGAGAGTTGAAAATATTACTTTCCCACCCACCTCTTATTTGGGGAAAATGATGAACTCTGTGATCAAAAAAAAAACAAACAAACAAAAAAAACAAAACCAAAACCAAAATCCTTCTTTAGGATGAAGATGCCATTGAAGTGATTATCTTCCGTCCTCTGTAACGATGATGAATCAACAATTTGGCATTTGTAGAGGCAGTTGACACAGGCCCTTTCAGGGGAAAAAGGAAAAAGAAAAAAGAAAACCTGTTTTCAAATAGGGCCTGTCAGAATGAACGCCGGTGCCCCGCTGGCTGATTAGGACCATGAATAAGATTCTCAGAACTCAGAAAGTGTGAGGAACCCAGGGGTAAAACTTATAAATCAAGTGTAAGGTAGGAGTAGAAAATTCTAAACATTCATTTTGTTTTGAAGGTGGGCATGAAGGAGATTATCTGCTGGTAGAGGAATATTTAATATTATTCCTTGAAGTGAGTTTAAGAGCATTATACCTCTCCTCATTCATTGTTGGAAACAGCAGTTTAAAAATTCTACTTAACATGAAAAATCCTGACACTTAGGTTCAAAAGGAGAGGAAGAAATTCTCCAAGAAAAAAAAAATTCTATTGGTCCTTTTATGCCAGAATTTTGTTAACAACCCTTGAGAAAGTTTATCAAAACCTTACTCTGTGTTTTTAATTCAGTTTAAGAAAGAACCTATTTCCCTCATAGAAGCTATGATGATCCACAGGTAAAACCCAACCTTAGACAACTAACTCCACTGCAGGAGGATTTGGGGTCTGGTTCTCAACTGGAAAATTGCTTTTCAGGGAGAAGGTCATGTTTTCCACTGATAACAGCGTCATTTATATCAAGTGAAACGCACATCCTCCGATCTAGGAGGAAGTTTAAGCTTTGGTCTTAAGACAGGAGGAAATACATTTCTCCCTGGCTAGGAAGAAAGTATTGAGGATGGGAAGTGGGAATTTAGGCACCATTCCAGCAATGCCAGAGTGGTATCTGTCTGTATAATGTCTGTCCTGAGCCCAGCCAAGGCCAGAGTGGTATCTCCAAAGTACTGACAGGTGGGGAAGGAGGTCTGGTGGAGACAGCAAAGACTGTTGAAGGGGAAAAACTACAGGACAGGAAAATGAAATGCCATCCCCGCCCCCGCCCC